AATGCAAAAGCTGGAAACAAAGAGAAAGGATCAGTCATTAACATGGCCTTAGTGTGATGCTGGATATAACATGATAAAATTTTGCAAGATTAATGACTTGTTTGCAAACACCTTTTTAAAACACCATAAAATGTGATTGTTTATACACATGGACCTTACCAGATGAAATATACAGAAATCAAATTGGCTACAACTGTGGAAAGAGACAGTGGAAAAGATTCATATTATCAGTCAAAACAAGACCAGGGGCAGATTGTGGAACAGACCATTAAGTTTTCATTTGCAAATTCAGTCTCCAGCTGAAGAAAATTTTTAAATGTCCATGAGAGGCAAAATATGACCTTGAACATATCCCACATGAATTTAGAAATCATCTGAAGAACAGATTTAATGCATTAGACACAAAAGAACGAAGACCAGAAGAGTTGTGGAATGGCATCAAGATCATCATACAGGAAGAAAGTACAAGGTCATTACAAAGACAAGAAGAAGGAAAAGACCAAAATGGATGTCTGAAGACTGAAATTTGCTCTCCAGCATAGAGATAATAAAGCAAATGAAAGAAATGAGGAGGTAAAAAAGCTGAATAGAAATTTTCACAGGGCAATTCAAAAAGACAAAATCAATTATTATAACAAAATGTGCAAGACCGGCAGTTAGAAAACCAAAAGGGAAGAACACACTCAGCATTTCTCAAACTGAAAGAATTGAAGAAAAACTTCAACCCTCGACTTGTGATATTGAAGGATTCTTTGGGGGGAAATATTGAATGATTCAGAAAGCATCAAAAGAACATGGAAGGAATACACAGTCACTGTACCAAAAAGAAATGGTCAATGTCCAACCATTTCAAGAGGTAGCATATGATCAAGAGCCAATGATACTAAATGAAGAAGGCCAAGATGCACTGAAGGCATTGGCAAAGAACAAGGCACCAGGAATTGATGGAATACAAATTGAAATCTTTCAACAAACTGATGCAGCACTGAAAACACTCACTCCTATATGGCAAAACATTTGGAAGACAACTACCTGGCCAACAGACTGGAAGAGATCCATATTTGTGCCCATTCCATAGAGAAGTGACCCAACAGAATACGAAAATCTTTGGGCAATATTGGTGATATTACATACAAATAAATTTTTTCTGAAGATAACACAAAAGTGGCTGCAAAAATGCATTGACAGAGAACTTCCAGAGGTACAAGCCAGATTCAGAAGAAGACATGGGACAAGGAACATGACTGCTGATATCAGATGGATCTTGACTGAAAACAGAGAATACCAGAAAAATGTTTACCTGTGCTTTATTGCTTTTGCCAGGCTTTTAATTGTATAGATCATAATAAGCCATGGACAACATTGTGGAGAATGAGTATTCTGAAACAATTAATGGTGCTCATAAGGAACCTGTGCATAGACCAAGAGGCAGTTTTTCAAACAAAACAAGAGCACACCGAATGGTGTAAAATTAGGAAAATTGTGCACCAGGGTTGCATTCTTTCACCATATTCATTCAGTCAGTATGCTGAGTAGATAAACCAAGAATTTGGATTATGTGAAGAAAAACTTGGCATCAGGACTAGGGGACGATCATTAACAACCTGCAATATGCAGATGATACAACCTTGCTTGCTGAAAGTGAAGAGGACTTCAAATACTTACTGATGAATATCAAAGTCCACAGCCTTCTGTATGAGTTGCACCTCATTTTAAGGAAACAAAAATCCAAGAAGAATGGAGTCCTTGACAACTTCAATCTTTTCTCCATTGATAAGAATGTTGTTTATTGGTCCAGTGGTGAGGATTTTTGTTTTCTTGACATTGAGATGCAATCCAT